GAGAGAGAGAGAGAGAGAGAGAGAGAGAGAGAGAGAGAGAGAGAGAGGGAGAGGGAAGGAAAGAGATTAGCTGCGCATTTTGCCTCGATTCTTCGCTACATTCGTTAAATACAACACGAGTTCGTTTCAAAAATATCGGGAGACCGGAATTAAATAATACACACACACACACACGCTGTGCGATATCGAACGATCGTATTTACGCTAATTTGGTTTGCGATGATCGAGAGAAAAAAAATATGGAATATCGCATATATGTGTACGCTCGATAACGAATCGAGAGTCGAAGTAGCGGAATACCGAATGTAAATATCGCGATCGTGCAACGATGCTGTTATATTATGGATGTGTCGCGTGTCGATCGTTCGCGAAAGAAAGACTCGGCGTTTACGTACGCGGGGGAACACGGAAAAATAATTGTACGGCATCGTTGGCCAACTATAATAGAATTCTACGCGCATCTTCATCCCACTCCGTGTTAAAACGCGCGTCTCGCGATCCCGTATGCGCGAGGTGCGCGCTTGCCCTCTCTTGTTAGAGACACGCATCTGGTGCGGAGGAGAACGCGAAGATGAAACGTAATGATTTTTTATTCAAAACGGTACGAGTAATAATAATAATAATAATAATAATAATAGTAATAAATAACTGAGAGGAGGTTGTAATACGAAGAGAATATATATCGCTTTGTTTTTTAAATATTTTTTTTAATAAGTTCGATAAAAAAATTATATAAATGGGATACTTAATAACAAGGTGATAAGTATTATAAACAAAGGGCTAGATACAAATGTACAAGTTAGTCATTATCATACTAATTCCATTATCGTATCGTATAATAAAAACTTAAGCCTATGAGATATAAAACTTGACCAGTTGATGATTCTCGTTTATTAAACGCTTTATGGAACGCTGTTTAATTTCCTTTCTCGCCGTGTATCTGGTAAAAGATACTCGTTCTTTGCACTCGGAAATCGACGAAAATTTATATGGATATAAAAAGAAAAGAAAAGGAGGGGGAGAGAAAGTTTCGTACGATCAAATAATAATAATTCGAAATAAAATAAACATCGCAAAAGAGATTATAGAGAAGCAACGAAAAACGATAAAAACGATTTTACCGAGTAATTACGCGCAATTGAGGAAGGGGAGGGGGGGGAGGAGGGGAGGAGGAGAAAACAATGGAGCAAACTTATTTATCATTCGTGAATTTTTCAAAGTTATTATCAACATTACCCGCATTGTATCGTACTCTTTCCTTTTTTTTTTTTTTTTTTTCCTCTCGTCAATTCGAAAAAAGGAAATCGGTTATAAATTTTCACACGCAATACATATCTCACTATGTATGTATGTATATATATATATTATTTTCGTCCAAAAATAATTAATGGCCACGTTTCTTCGTTGGCAATCTTTATCAAAGATTTGATTCGCGTCACACACGACGCGCTACGCGATATTTACTCGACGAAAGTAACAACGGCGGCGATCGCAACAACGAACGAAAACGAC